CAAGGTCCCCCGAGGATGCAGCATTACATCGGTCAAACAAGATGGGCGTCAATTAGGTTCCCCCTGTCGGAGGCTGATACGGTCGGGCCGAGGTATAAGGTCGAGGTCGGCCCGGGGAGGGGACCCTAATGTTGTTCTTAGTTTTTGGTGTATGTTCTTGTGCATCCTGAGGGGAAGGATGCCCTGAAGGATGGTGCTTCTGTCCCAGCGGAGGGTCTCCTGTTCTTGAAGGATGTTCTTCTGCCCATAATTCCTGACGCTTCATGTATCCCCACCAGTCTTCCCCCCGCCGCCTGATCCGCGGCCCCCGCGCGCGCTCGGCAATTTAGTCGCGGCCGTAGCCCGCCCGCGACCGCCCGCCGCTGGCGCTTCCGCCTGCGGCTGTATAAAAAAAAGTATCCCCACCAGCGGCAATTAGGTTCGCTCGTAGCCCGAGCCGACTCGACCCGCTGCGGGCGCCTTCGCCTGTGGCCGCGACGGAAAAATCCCCACCAGCCCATCCCAACACAGACACCAGGCGATTGACCCTGAGCAGGGACGTGTAGCACCATTCGGCCCAGCAGTGAACGCCCTCTTCCGTATTCGTCCCTCTCCTTCGCCTTCTCATCTTTCTTCGTCTGCCCCAGGACTGCGTGCGCTTCGTGGTTGCTTGTAGCTGAACTGGTTGATTGGTTGCCTGTCTTTGCTCCTTGTGCGCGCGATGCGTGGCTTGCGGGTCCTCGTGGTCGTTTTGGTTGAGCTGTTGCCTTTCTTATCTTGCGGTCCGTGTTGTACGTCCCGCGTGCGTGAGTGCATGTGCTTCGTGGTTGTATGTGGCAGGCTTGGTTGAGTGGTTGCCAAGGTGGCTCCAAGATTGCTGCAAGAGGCTTGACGACGACGACAACGATAACGACGACGACGGCGGCTGCAGCGACGACGACGACGACGACAGGAGTCAATATCAAGACTTTTACGATCTTGCGCTCTGGGAGTGTCTTGGAGGCCTCTTGGGGCCATCGTGGGGCCGTCTTGGAATCCTCTTGTGTCGTCTTGGCGCTCTCTTGGGGCCCTGTCGGGGCGCTCTTGGGGCTCTCTTAGGACCCTCTTGGAGGCCTTGGGGGGCCTCTTGGGACCATGTTGGAATCCATCGGTCAAAGAATGGGGTCTTGAAGTACTCCCTCCTCCCCCCCGTCGGGCCCGAACATTTGCCTCGGGGGGGCCCTCTTGGAGCTTCTTGGGGCGCTCTTGGGACACTCCTGGGGCGCCGTGGGGATCTCTTGAGGCCGTCTTGGGGCCATCCTGGGCCCCTCTGGGGGCCCCCTTGGACCATCTCGGAGCCATCTTGAGGTTTCCAGAGCCCATTGGCCCCATTGGAAGCGAAAAGGTGAGACGGCAGAACAGATCGAAAGGCGGTGGTTTTGAGGGAGCTTGGCCTTTTGGAGGCCTCCTTGGGAGGCTCGGAGGGCACTTTGGGCCGTCCTAGAGAGATCTTGAGGGCTCTTGCAAGCATCTTCCCCGAACAGTGCTTGCACTTACAGTGGGGGCCCATGCCAAGAAACACCCTGCTTGCCTCCAGGGTGCCCTGGGTTTCTTGGGTTTCGATGGTTTGGCTGTGGAGATCGTGGCGCTCCTGCACCAAAAATCAATGGACGTCCTGGGGTCTCAGGGCTGGGTTTCTTGTGGAAGGTTTATTATTGTGGACTGGCCTCTACTGTCGGGGATCTCCTCTCTTTTCCAAGGAACTGGGCCGCCGGGCCGCTCTGGCCGCCATGTGTCCGCCGTCGCCGCCTCGTCGCCGCCCGTCGCCTGGGCCTGCGGGCCGCTCTGGCCGCCATGTGGCCACCGTCGCCACCTCGTCGCCGCCCACCGCCTCGTCGCCGCCCACTTTGCACTGCATTGCTTTGCGTTGTATTGCTTTGCATTGCTTGGCATTGCTTTGCGTCACAGATTGCGCCACGTATACTGCACCTCGTAGGTTTTCTTTTGCAAAGAGGAGTGAGGATCCCCCCCCGGGCTCATCTGTACCCACTGTGGGTGTGCAATTTGCACATGATTCTGTCCAATGGTTCATTCAACATATGAGTTCATACCATCTCAGCCAGGCCAGTATCAATCCACCTCATTCTCGTCAAAAATGCTATGCGCGCGCATTCGGTTATCACAGATCATGAATTTGCAATAATCCCTCGCAACACAGGGGACGAAGTCCACACGCGCGCGCGTCGTCGCGCGCGCATGGCCAACATCCTTCAAACAAATTAGGTTTCGTAAGGTTTTCAAGCTTGAGTGCTCCGAGAACATGTAAAACAACATGTTTTGCATACTGAGTTTTCAAACACAGCTTGCGCGCGCGATCTTGCGAACTCTTAAGGCAACTATCAGTTTCTCAACGTCTTCATCACATGCGACCAAGCGGGCCTCTCGCGCGCGCATGTCGAATTCGTTTGAACGTCCTTGCGCGCGTGCTGGAGGTCATGCGGGCCATTTGCGCCCTTCGGCCGCGCGCGCATGTCGAAATCCTTCCACAACCTTCATCACCGACTTGTGGTCACCGTCACTGCCATCGGCGTGATCAGCATCGGCACCGTCATTGGCCTTGCCGTCGTCATCGTTATTGTCGTCACCAGCATCGCTACTGTCATCGTCCGTTGCCGACGTCACCATGATACCGCGCCCGCCCGAACTGCCGCGCGTCAGCGCGGCTTGCGAGACGCGCTTGGAAGTCCCCAGCGGTCAGCGCCACCGCGGCCGCGTCGGTCGCGCCAGACTAGCTGGCCGGTCTGCGCACGGGCCTGCGCGTGCTAGCGCAGCTGCAACGATGCGCCAGCCAGCGCCAAGCAGTCATCGCAAGCCACGTTGCGGGTGGGTGGGATGATTGTGCGAGCAGTGGAGCTTGCAATTTCAAGTTCGGCAGGGTGAGCTGCATCAGTTAGATTGCACCACGTAGACTGCACCACACGCATTGCACCACAGAGAGTGCTAGAACACGCTGTTTGGGGTCCATCCACGGTGGCTGACATTGAGGGCTATCTCGAGTCACTTCGGGATATCTGGAGGCCATCTTGGGATGCCTGGGGCCCTCTTGTGGCCACCTGGGGCCCAAATAGACCTTCTGACAACACGCGGGGGAGGGCTGCAGGCCCAGGGGCAGGGAGTTAGGGGGAGTCCTCCTCCACTTGATCCTCCTCCTCCTCCTCCTCCTCCTCCTCCTCCTCCTCCTCTCCCACATCGTGGAACCCCTCCCCGAAGGGGACGAAGGGGGTGAACTCCCTAGACCGCTCACGCCCAGAGTGCTGGTGGGACTCACCTCTTGGGGCCCTCTTGGGGCGCTCGGAGGCCCTCTGGACCATCTCGATGCCCTCCTTTGGCGCTCTTGGGGCTGTCGTCCGCCGTCTCGGTGTCATCTTGAGAGCTCCCAGTCCCGTGAGCAGTGCGAAGGCGAGCAGTCTAAGGTCATTGAGCAACCTTAAGGTGTTCCAAGGTTTGTGGCCTCTAGAGGTTGTCCTTGGAAGCCTTCGAAGTCCTTTTTTGGGCCGTCTCGTAGGCATCTTACGGACTTTGGAGGCATGTTGTACGTAATGTCATGTTTGTCCAAGTCTGGCTATTTTGCGCCATGCTGGAGGCCCCCTTGAAGCATCTGGAGCCATATAGGAATCATCCTGAATGCAAATGGACCCTCGAACCTCTCCGTTCACCTCAGCTCCAGACCCAGGGGGGCGGGTATGGGAAGGTGCACAGAAACCCCTCCCGCAAGGGGAAGGGCCTCTGGAAGAGATTACATGCGAAACAGCCTACGCCCAGTGGGCTGGTAGAGGAACATGGCCGTTGCGTCTGGTCAACGCCAGTCTTTCGCCGACACGGGTCGCTCTGGATCTGAGAGCGTCGTCGTGTTGGTCTGTTTTTGGCTTGGCGCACCCGTCGACGGCCTCCTCTGCCAATGCCGCGCTGGGATCTAACATAACGTTCGGTACTCCCGTGGGCTGCGATACTTGTTCCTGAACCTCGTCAATCGCATAATCGAGTGCTTCACGCTTGCAGCGTGCAGTGCCGTTTTTAACATGCTCCGCGTGCGGATCATGTATTAAAAATGAGGGATTCAGTATTGAAAAAACAATATGTATTCATACATTACCCATGTATTAAACATCCCATGCTTTCAACAATCCCATGTATTGAAAACTGCCCTGTGCTGTGTCATACGTTACGCCACCATCGTCTGCCCAGTATCCGAGCTCCAGCTTGAAACAATTCGCTGTGAGCTACGTTCTGTGCAACAACTTCTGCTTTGGTTCTCAGTTCTCGTCTTGAACCGAATCAAGCTGGAGGGATCTCGAGTTTCGACGCACGCATTGCTACACCTTCGGGCAGCACCCTACGTGGAAGGCTCGCACCAGTGCGCCTACCTCTGCCATGTCTGCCAGCTAACCGAGGCACTGCCGCCAACGTTTTGTTCGTGCCCGCCGGCTGCAACTGGTGCAAGGTCTACCTGGCATCACGCGCCGTCTGAAGTAGTATGCCAAAACACGCTGGTATCCAGCGGCCTTGGGTCTATACCGTCACCGTTTCTGGATCGCAGGCCAGAGGCCTCTTGGATGTCCGTTGGAGTCTCTACGGGGGGCCTCTCGGAGGCCCCTTGGGGCTTGTGGGCTCTTCGGGAGGTCTCTTAGGGTGTCCAGACTAGGGAGGGAGCAGGGGGAAGGGTACACAAACCCCTCCCCGCAGGAGGCGCAGGGGTTGTCTTGGAATGGCTGGCACTCGAAACCACCTTGCGTCCCGAGGACGGGTGGGATCTGGATCAGCCCCAGTGCCATCCGCAGCGCATGCTGGCGGCCGCCCGAGCGTTGAACGGGCCATGGGAAGCAGATCCCGATCACCACGGACCAGGGATATCAAGCTTTCGAAAGCGGTTTTGAACAGAGATGGAAGGAGGGATTCATGTAGAATGGGGAAGCAGACAGGGAAGGGGGGACTGGAAGTAGTGAAGGTAACGGGGACCGAGGGATGGCAGGAATTCTGAGAGGATGTTGGCCCGCGTAGAGTTGACCCCCACTCCTTCCCCTCGTCTTCCTTCCCCTTGCTCTCCCGTCGCCTTTCCTCCCCTTCCTTCTGCCTTTCACGTCCTCCTTTTCTCTCCCTTCCTGCTCCCTTGCCGTTCATTTTTCTTCCCCTTCTCTGCGGGCACTCCTCCTCCCTGCTCTTTTCTGCACCTCACCTGCCACTCTGCCGCACTCTCCTGGACATCGACGCGCGAGCGTCTGGGGTGTCCGAGTAGAGAGGACGTGGACGATCCCGAGCGGGTGGGCATTCACGAGACCCACCTCGGCTTTTATTACAACAAGTATTATCGGAAGCAGCTGAACCCGAAGTACTTTGGTCCCGCCTCTCCTTCCGCGCCTCGTGCTGAGTGTAGCAGCTAGCATGTTCTGCGGCCCTCGGTCCTCGTCGCTCTCTTCCTGCTGAGTGCCCAACGCTTGCTGCTTCCCCATCATGCCGCTGCAGCGGCCTGGAGCGTTCCCGTCCGCGGAGGGTCTCGTGCACAGGATTGGGCTGGGGCGAACGACAGCGCACAGGAGAGGCAGCACTCCTTGGGAGGCGCCTGGCTACTGGTCTTACTCGGACGTGGGCTAGTTTCACGCGCTAACCCTGGACAGCGACGGCGACGGCGACGGCGACGAAGACATGGGCGGCGACGAGTGGTGACCGAACGAGGGCCCGAGAAGCAAACGAAGCGAGGGTCGGGGAAGACACGGCGGCCGAGGGACAGCGACTCGCCTGGCTACCGGGGACTATCATCACTCGAGGGAGGAGGGGGGCCTGAGGGGACAGTGCTGCCTGATCCTGCTCTCGTCCCTTCGGTCGCAAATCGTGGGCGTCTTGTTTGCCCTCGCAATTCCGTTGTCAGAGTGCACTAGCGTGAGCGTCTGGTATATAATCGATTTAGCGTCGATCAGCGGTTTGGCTTCGATTGGCGTCGATCAGCGTCGATTAGCGTCGCTTCGCAGGAGCCCGCAAGACGGTATGACAGGGGGAAATAATTAGTGGACACTCCCCCGCTCCCCCAAACTCAAAGTTGGCACGCGCGGGGGAGACTGCGGTCGAAGTGCAACTCCTCAGACCCACCGCCAACTTTGAACACAACATTGGGGGGAGGGGGAGGCGTTGACCGATGAATGTGTCATGCGTGTTCGCCATTTTTTCAGAGGCCTGTACGGGCTCAGAGAACTACGTGTTTTTGAGGCGCTTCAAAGAAGTGCGTGTTTTTGAAGCCAGAAGCAGCTTCAAAAGCACGCAGTTATCTTAAGCCGGGTCCGGCTTCAAAAACACTCAGTTCCTTCCGTGAGCTGCCGCAGCACGCCCCGCTCGCGCCACATTGCCGCTGCCGCCCCTCTCCTCTCTCCCCTCCTGCTGTGCTCCTGCCTGCTGCGTGCCCGGCCCTGCTCCTGCTCCGTGCTCCGCCGAGGCCTCGCACGACTCCCACCCGGAGCCTGGGCCGCCACACCGGCGTGAAGAACTGCACGTTCTGAGCGCATCCTGCCCTTCCCCCCCTCTTCCTCCTCCTTCTCCTCCTCCTCTTCCTCCTCCTGCTGCTCCTCCTCCTCCTCCTCCTCCTCCTCCTCCTCCTCCTCCCCCTCCTCCCCCTCCTTCCTCTTTCCTCTCCTCCTCCTCCTCCTCTTCCGCTCCTCGTCCTCCTCCTCCTCCTTCCTCCTCCTGCCCCTCCTCCTCCTCCTCCTCCTCCTCCTCCTCCTCCCCAGAGGGTCTTCCGATCCCCGAAGGGGATCGGGCTGAAAATTGCAAAAAAAAGGATCGGGGTGTAAAAAGTGTTCGGGTATGTTGGCCAGACATAAAAAAAGTGATCGGGTGTGGGTACATGTACATATCTCGTTAACATAATAAGTCATCATGAAATAAGTAGTATTCATATGTAGTATTACATTGTATTGTTATTGTATTCATCAGTATTACTATTACCAGTATGCCAGCACCATTGACCCACGACGTTACGTTTCGGGTTCCGAGCGGTTGGGCACCACGCACGAAGGTGTTGCCGGTTCCTCCGTTGCGCCTTCGGTCCTCGATCGCACGCGGGATGCACCAGTTTCGGCTTCCTCGCGCGGTTAACCCCCCGATCCCGCGCTAAATATTCGTTCTAGGTCGTTCGAAGTTCATGCCCTGTCACCGGGCCCCCTTCACCCGCCGCACCCGCTGCACCCTCGTCGCTCACGTACGTGACTCATCGTCATAGTCAACGCAGTGCCTCCCCCGTTCGCACTGCTCGCGTCCCCCGTGCACGGTCCCCGCACCCAGCTCGCCCCTCCTCTCCATCGCCGTTTTGGCTCGACCATGCCTGCAGGTGGAACTGTGGAGTGGGTGATCCCACCACGCGGCAGTTGGAGCGCGCCCATCGGCAAGGCGCTGATGTCGGGCTCGCAGGAGACGGCAGATCCTGCGAGGCCATGCAGAGGGGTGCCGAATTGCCCCGAGACCGACGACGAGGCAGAGCCGCCCACGCTGCCGCACGGCCGCGGCGGAACGCCCACATATCGCCAGCAGGAGGCCACCGTCGCACAGGCGCAGACGCAGGTGGAGACCGCCTCGCAGGAGCAGATGGTCGTGGAGGCCGCATGGCAGATGCAGATGGTCGTGGAGGCCGCATCGCAGGCGCAGGGTGTCGCGCAGGCCGCCTCGCAGATGCAGATGGTCGTGGAGGCCGCCTCGCAGAAGCAGATGGCTGCCTCGCAGGAGCCGGTGGGCGTGGACGCCGCCCCGCAGATCATCTCGCAGGTTGACGCGACCAGCGACGACGAGCCGCTGATCACCTCGCCGAAGAAGCAGAAGGTCCCGCTGAACGTCTGCAGGAGGGTGTCCGCCGCCCCGATCGCGATTGCCGACTCACCGCCCATGGGCCAGGTCGAGGACGACAACGTCGGCGGCGGCAATCAGCAAGTGGGTGGAGTCATCGGTGCAGGTCCAGAGCGCGGCGTGACAGGCCGCGAGCATGACGTGTGGCACGATGGCGCGCCAGACCACGGTGGTTCTGCGCAGCCTCCGTGTCCGCTGTCGCCCTTGTCGGCAGCCATCGGCGAATCGATCGTGGCAGAGACTCGGAGGAAGGAGGCAGCCCGCAAGGAGGGCGATGATCCACGGGATGGCACTGCGCTGAGCCGCGCGGATGCCGATCGCAAGGGCGTCGTTGCCGAGGACATCCCACCCAGCAGGACGGCGGCCCCTCGTGGGGCACGCCCCCGCAGGATTCGCACCCAGGGTTTGGCAACCGCTCGGCGGGTGGCTCGATGCCGACGCCTATCGAGGCACGCATGACACATGAGGGGACAGTCGATCAGCGGGGGAGCGTGTGCATCCCAATGCTGGATGTTAGGCGATGTGCCGATGTGCGCTGGGATTTGATCGGCCGCCCAGCCAGTCCAATCCCAGCGCAAATCCCAACGCGTTGGGATTCGCGTTGGGATTTGCGCGCTCCCCCTGCTCAGCCGTGCTCTGCCCCCCCCCGTTCGCGGCAGGGTGGCTTCGAGACGCCGAAGAAGCACCTGCGCCACTCTGCCCAGGGCGTGGCCCACTACATGGCGACGTTCGAGGACCGCAGCCGCCGCCCGCGTCTCTGCGCGTGTGCGGGCAGTGCTGACATGCCTATCATATGGCGAATCGTCGCCAGCTCGTCGTCTTCGTGGGTTCTGCCCTGCCCTCCCCCCCGTCGCAGCCTATCTCCACGGCGTCCATATGTTCCCATCGCTGTCATTCGTGCATCGATCGTGGGGGGTCACCGTCATTGCCGTTAACATCACGTATGTTGTAGGCACGATGGCCCGAACATAGGTTTCGAACATGGCCACGCGTACATTCCACGGGGATGACAAGCGGCTGCTGCTGGTGTGGATGTTCTACATCGATCAGGCTAGTATATACCACCCCGATACCCCCACACCCGACCGATCGATTAGTTTCACCAGCGCCGCACAGGCCGATTCGATCACCTACGCAATTGACGATGTGCACGAGGCGAAGTCCGACAAACGTGCACTGTTACGCCATAGGGAGTTGCTCAGGGACACCCGTGAGATCGCCATGACAGTAAACCCGTAACAGCGAAGGCTGATGGTGACGCTCCAAACACGTCACCTCTCAACAACATCCAGCAGTGTCTTCAGTATCCGTCCCCCGCCTGTCATCGCCAGCCCCCCCGTCCCACCTCGTGCTCCTTCCTCTCCTCACCGTGCTCGGTCACCCCCCTCCCCCGAGGCACTGCTTACAGAAATTGCACGGGAGAAGGAAGCTAGCTGGCATCTCGCGAGTACGGGGTCCCGCAAGTGGGTCGCAGACGCATCCAAAATGTTGAGGAACATGCTGCGACACGTCAGCCAAGCACTGATAAAGACCGACGGGTGGGCCAAAACGCGTGTCACTGATGTTGTCGGCACAGGGGCTGGTGCTCGTCGCCGCGGCTTGGATTCGAGACTCGAAGTCAGGGGTCGGGGGCATTGGTCGGGGCCAGTCGTGCGATCCGACGCCCGAGGAAAACCGCGTGGGCGCAAGAGGCTTTCGGGCCAGCGAAGGAGTAGGGTCACGGGTGCTGGGCCTCGGGTGGGGGGGGGGCGAGGTTGCGACGCGCCAGTGCTGACCGACCCCCGCCCGTCGATTCCTTCGAGAGCCAGCCGCAAAAGTCGATCATGCCCTCTCCCGTAGCAGCGGGATCGCGGACGCGTCCAGCCTCAGGATTGTCCGAGCCGAAGGCCCCCAGGAGATGTTTGCCCAACCTGTCCACGCTACAGAACTGGACTGAGGGGGGTGGGTGGGGGTGGGCAATGTAGTGGGGGGGGGGGGGGGGGGGGGGGGGATAATTGCACGCGTAGAGCGGGGGTGGTATAAGGTAAGATAGGGGGTTGGAGGGAGACGCCATGCACGAGATCAATACACAAACGTGGATATGGGAGGCACCAGACAAGGATGCCACAGGCAAACACACGGCGACACGCACCTCATCGGACAACGTGATAGTCAAGGACGGTAGGCGCTACAGCCGATGTGGGCTCGAGATCGTTCACAGCGCCGACGGCTGGCACTTCGGGTGGTCAGGGCCTCTTCAGGCGACGTCTCAGTGAAAACCGTTCCCATCCAACATTGAATTCACACGGAGTGTGAGGGGCGTGACTATGGTCGGTGATCGCCAGACGTCGTTCGGAGGTGTTCTGACCACCCACAGTCCGCGTGGAGACTTCGTGCGGGCGGCAGTAGCATTCCAGAGTGCGTCAGGGCGGTCGTCGAGGACAGGTCTGAGCTGCTGGTCACGACCTGGAGCGACGGGCATCGGTGGCCAGTGCCCGACGCGTCGCCAGGGATGGCCGAGCAGCAGAAGTCAT